CACTCAGCTTGGAATCCAAACACCAGTGCAGCAGAGCCAGGGATGAATGGGATACCTGGAACTCCAATACAGGGCTGGCCTCACCAGCATAAGGGAAAGATCAGAACTGGGGGTGAGGAGGGGTTAAACATGATTCTATTTACTGAATATTATACTTCATTATAGTCAAAGATCTAATTTTATTGTCATTACTTATCCTTCTGATTTACTTCATGCTCCTTGCTCAGATGAACCTTTTTATCCTTATTATGAGTCAACTCCATTTCATCAGACAATGTCGCATCTGGTCTTATGGTTTCTCTACGCTCACGCTCCTGAGCACGTCCAGGTATTACCCACACCATCAGTCCCTGCTGCAAACAGCTACAGCAAAACCTCGTCCTCTTTGGAAGTGTTTTTGTCATTAGCTTTCTATCCCCCTTTTTTTCCCTGTTGCAAAAGTCATTTTAATACCAGGAGCCAAGCACCAACTAACGCCTGTTTGAGTCTGCAGAGAGCTTAACACCTTGCTCTGAGCAACCTGCCTACACTGACATTTGTCTTAAATATCACAGGTTCCAGCAGCTTTGTCATAGGACAGGGATTTCCAACACAGATAAACGCTCCTGAATATAGAAGTCAGGAATAAGGCATTTCACAGAGGTACAAGCTATGAGCAGCACTTAAGGAACTCAGGGTGCAATACAGAGGTCAGAGATGATGGGTTTGGGCCGTGCCAGGGATGCAGGGACCATGACAAGCCAATAAAGACAGCTTCTGACGGTACTAAAGACGCAACCCAGGACTAAACTGTTGATTAGATGTATTGAGCCAACACAGAAATGGAAGGAGCTAAACCACATGTGGACAACATATTTTTAGCCGAGTTACAATTTACAAGACTTTTCTTCCTTATGTTTCCTAATTGCTTGTCATTCAGTGGGAGATGCTGCTGGGTGCACAGCACCTGCGCCTCTCACCAGATTCAGTGGGCGTCGTGGATGCTGAGCAGCTCCCAGGATGAGGCCAGAAATACATCTCTTTGCTAGCGGGTTTTTCCACAGCAAGCTAAATATTTTAACTGCAATATTTATATTCGGGGATGACAAATGATGATTCGGTCAAACCCTCCCCATTGCACTTGTCAGGAGACAGCCTGAATAAGAACAGATTAAAAGCAAAGGCTTTCCAATAAAGCGCCTCAAATCTGATACGCACTTATTTATACAGCGATCAAATGAAGTTTGTCAAAGTGATGGGGAGTCCAGACCCCATCACTTATACCCAAATCTCCACACGCTCAGTGTAAACCCCCCAACTCACAAACTGCAATGCTCCCACAGACACGGGAGCCAGAACACATCAATCGTGCAATAAGGAACGAAGGGAACTGCAAGCCTCGTGTCAGAGAACAATTTATAAGGCTGCCAAGCAAACAGCCTAACCCAGTACAAAGAACAGGGGGAAGGAGTGAAGACCAGAACGTTAGACACAGAGCAGATACACCATTTTTTCACTATCCAAGTGTATAGACACCTAAACTGAGGAATGCTTGGATATAAAACACAGGATGTTATTCGGGACGTTAGGTCTGCCCCAAAGCGCTTAGAAAGGCAACAGCAAGTGCTGCAAGAAACACTGGAGAAAACAAAAATGATTAAAAGAATAAACCCCAGATTTGATGCAAGCAGAGACTCTACCCAAAGAGCAGGACAGAGCCAAGTCCCATAGAAAAGAGCTGGCACCAACCAGCTCTGTAGCCACTTGAGAAAATAAATCAGCAGAGGGGTTTTTATTCTGACTAAGGCACAGAGAACTCAACCTATAATGAATCACGACGTGGTTTTCTGAATCACAAAATAACCAGCAAAGTCACTCACGCCTTATCAAAGGCCGTGCTGCAGAGCTGATGCTCGGTGCTGTGATGGAAAGCAGTCCCAAGTTGCAGCTACCATACAGTAAAACCCTTTGTGGCAATGCAATGGACTGGTGATGACACAAAGTCTCAAGGCACGTGGATGGTGGAGCTGCTGATGGCCACCATCGCTGTGTTACAGGGGCATGAATCAACAAGGACCGGGAGCTGCATCCAAATCCCCCTCAAGGCACAGGGACACCCAGGGATTGATAAAAGGTGACTCAACACCTCCTTGATCAACATGTTAACAACCGCAGAATTAACATCTTAAAGACAACACCCATGTGGATACAGGCAGAGCTCTGTGTTTCTGCAGAGCCACCAGTTAACAGCAGCGCTTGGGAAGAGCCAGGAAAAGACCTCGGAGGATGGCAAAACCCAAAATCTGGCTCTCTACCACCCAACGTGCTCAGAGTACACAAAGTCCCACCCACAGACCTCTATAAATAAACCCATGTAGGAGATCCAGGACTGAAGAAATAAGTTGGCTTCCAATTATACAGCTTTTTAAAAGATACAATACAACTTGACAGTGAAAACTCAATTTTAACCACTGCCCGTGCCATAAGAGCTATATTTGTGCTGATTATTCGCTCTAAACTCTCACTTATAAGGGGGTTTCTGGTTGAAGCTGGGTTTGGAGGTAACCCTGGAGCTCAGGAGACTCCTGTGTGGGATCTGTCACTTCAGAAAGCTGAAGAATGACACTACACAGCAAACAGCTCAACAAAAGTCAACCGTGACAATCAGACTCGGTCTGAACGCTTCCTGCTTCTTTGATTAAACCTCAATGGACACAGCTCTTTGATTATTGTTCCACACCTGAAAATCAGCTCCTTGCGGATCTTTTGCTTTCTGTTGTTTGAGAATTCCAAAGTTTCTTGGGTTTATTAATACAAAACCCATGTAAACGAGGGGGGGTGTTTGAAGCAGGATTTTTTCCAGGTTGTTCTCCACATTCCCAAACGCAGCTATTAAAAACCCAAACGTGCATCCACTACATCTGCCCTCTCCGCAGTTTTCCCTCCGATGCACGGATGCATGCCTCCGGCTGGGCAGGCTCCCGGCTCCGAAAGCTGATCCCGGCCCCACCTGTCCCCCCGAGAACCAGGCAATGGCTTTTTTTAGCTATTTCTAAGCCTGGCAGTAGCCCCCCCTGCTTAAGCTGCACAGGCAAACCATGCTTTTGGCCCTGCCGTGGAGGATTTCCACCTGCTCCAGGCCTCAGGTCTGGGCTATCTCTGCTACCAACAACTATTCGGAGCGGCCGGGGTGGTTTTCATGGTTCACATCATCTGGATTGATGAGGATTTGCCTGGGAGACCCACGTGAAACGCACTTGACAGCATTCCCAAAACCGTATTCGGGATTTTGGATGCTGACGTAGATGGTCTGCGGTGGGATGAAGATCCCTGCCTCTGCCACGAGCATCCCATGGGATCACCCTTGAGAACCGACAGGAATGTGATGGGAACCAGACCCCGAACCTGCAGTATGGGACACCTTTGCTTTTGCAAGGCATGCTGAGCGAACAGACAGCCCTGTCTGCAGCCTGGGGATGCAGGGGTGAAGTCTTTCTGTCTGGTGGCAGGGGGAAACATGCACAGGTTTTGGAGCTGAAACACTGCAGAGAAGACGCACGGAGATGCACTCCCACACTGGAAAACACTCAGTGAGCATGGGGAGGGGAACAACATGGACATCAGTGGCACGGAGCAAGATCTTTTCCCCCTCACCCTAAAATATACCCCAAAGAGAGTTAAGGACAGCTCTCCCAGCAAGAAAAAGCACCACTGAAGGAAGGCACTGGCTTCTCAGAGGGGTTAGTGCTCCCCAGATGAGCAAGCAGCTCAGGGAAGGGCTTCAGAGTCAGATTTTAAGGCACTTCACAGCCTTCCTTTTGTAACAGAGGAAGATTTTAATGCAACCAAAGTTCATTATTGTGGGTTATGGATCCACGCTTCTGGATGGGCACGAAGAGTCACCAAAACTGCACGACTGGCCAGAAACCACCTTTGTGTTGCAATCTTCTCTTCCAAGTTACACATTCCTTGAGACAGGCACCTCAGCCCTTATCACACCATACACGCGAGTGTCCCCACGTAGCTGCTTCCCAAGTGCTGCAGCACCACGACAATGGCTTGTCCCTGAGCTGCCCAACCTCCAGCTGCCTGCTGTCCGACATGAGCCACCCACCACCCAGGCACAGCACCAGCTCCTAAGCAAGACACGCATCTCCTCCCTCCGAGGTTGCTCAGCACGGCTTCATTAAGCAGCTGCAGAAATCCCAGTCACCAGCAACACGGGTGCTCTCACCAAGAAACTTAGAAGTCAACACCGAAGGATTATTCTCCCTGCGACGCGTGGGACTGTTGGAGACTGGGAGAAGAGGGGAAATATCCCAACAAGGAGCTATTTTTGCTGGGAATAGGAGTCTCTATTGCTGCGATACATCGCGAGCTTTGTTCTGCTACAACCAAAACATACCGGTGCTGACAGCAAGAACACTACAACACAGGGCTGACGGAGTTATGTTAGATTTTGGCTTCACTACTAACCCACCATCATGATTTCCACCTAATGTGATGTCAGATGGGTAAGTTTTATAAAGGAACTCACTCTCCTGTGAAATATGAGGTGATGCTGAAAGGCAAAATCAAAGCAGAGCCTCATCCTACAGCGGCATGAGCACACCTGAACTCTTCCACACAAACTCCCTCGCTCCGCGCCGATGCCTCCGTGCTTCGTTCTCCTCCTGCTGCCAGTTCATTTTCCAGCTGTATCAGCTTTAGGGATGCCAAACCCAGGGCACATGTAGGACTGTGAGATCCTACCAAAAGAGGGGAAGGAGAAGGCTTCTCCCTCTCACCTGCACCCAAAGTTCTGAGACAGGATAACCTGCTTTAAGGGATGAGATCCATCCTGACCCCCTCTCAGCTCCAACACAACGGTGTCCTCCCCAAGCCCCTCAGGATCGGGTGTTTCACTTTCTTGTTATGGAACCTCCATTTACATTTAGTATTTACATAACTAAAGCATTGCTGAGGAGATGAACTGCTTGTTTACATCTCCCTTCCACCCGCACGCGTGTATGAGCCTGGTTCCCCCGTCGCCACAGTGCCAAGCGGAAATCTCTCTGCACAAGTCAATAGCTCACATAAACCTAGTTCCAACAAGAGGAGCCCCAAGGCCTTAAATACTGTGGGGTTTCCCTTTGGTTATTTCTCCTAATAACACCCCCAAGAAGCATTCAGGGGAGGATTGTGCAATTCCTCCTCCCGACAACACTCGCCTTGGGGGTGTTGCTGAGGAGCACAGTGAGCTCAGACGCACAGGGGTTGCTCTGGTTAACTGAAGCGAGATCAATAATAACCATATTAATAAATAATGCTTTTAATAGCAGTGGCAGGATGTAGGCAGCAAACTGCAGGCAGGTATCAGGGACAGGTAAAAGCATGAATTATCCGCACCATGTCAATGCTTCCGAGCCGATGCGCAGAGCAAAGCTAAAAGCTCACTTTCTGAAGATTACCAAGACAGACTGACAACTCTCTGCTTGCACACAAGCATTTCGGGTGAAACTCAATTTGCTGGATGCCACAGCGGAGAGAAGCACGCTGCTCTCTCTTACTTAACATTAATAAACTGGGTAATGGACACAGGGAAGTGCGAGAGATTTAGGGGTTTGATGTCCTCTCCCTTCCCTGCCTGCAAGTTGGAAGAGAACAAAAGCAAAGGGGAGTTTTTGGGACCCGAGGCATGTGCCTTCTCCAAAGCAACTCCAACCCGCTCCATTTCTCTGCGAGGAGAAGGCAAACACGAGCTCAGAGCCGCTCTCTTATATAAACAGCGCGGGGGTCAGCGCCTGTCTGAAATTCCCCACTATGACTAAAACAAACACGAGGTTGTCCTTAAACTTTGCTTCTCGTCACCCCACCAGGAGATAAGTGAAGTTGAGGGGTTCTCCCCTCTGTGGGTCCTAGAGGGCTGTGGCTCAGCACCCTGCACCCCACACCCCAATGGGATGCTGAGGCTGAGCACCTTGTCCTACCGCCCCATCCCTCTTGTTCCCACACCAAACAGTGGGACGAGGCTGGTGCAAGCATGGGGACCTCAGCGTGTGCATCCCCCAGATGAAGCCAGCAGGATAAGCACAGCAGGGACACATTCCCTGCCTGTCCCACTCCTGCAGACCCCCACATCCCACTTCCCGAGGTGGGGATCGGGACAGCACAGAGGCACTGGGGACCCCGCGGGCGTTGTGGCATCACCATGTGCTCGAGGGAGCAGTGAGCCCGCGGGATGCAGAACCCCGACGGGGTGCGAAGGGGTGGTCCAGGGGAGGGGTATCCCCGGGGGGGGGGGGTGCGTTGTCCCTCGGGGAAAGGATATGGATTACAGACCAGCCTGAGGCACCAGCTGCGCGGGCGGGTGGTTTGCTTGAGGCAGAAGAAGGCGGTGGGTGCCAGCGCCGGGTAAGGCACCTGCTCCTCCTCCTCGGAGGCCAGGTCGGGCGGCAGGTCGCGGCCGGGAGAACCGCCGGAGCCGGCATCCTCCGGCGGCTGCTCGGCGGGGCGGCGCGGCGGTACGGTGATGGGCACCCGCACCTCGCCGCCGGCCGGGCGCGGCAGCGACTCCGGGCTCTCGCCATCAGTCATGGTAGCGGCCGGGACCTGCGGGGCAAGGGCAGGGGGTCAGGGGCGAAGGGCTCCCTTCCCCGGAACGGGGCGCGGCTCCCACCTGGCCCCGGCGCTCCAGACACAACAAAGAAGGGCGAGGAAAGGAAGGGGGGAGTCGAGCGTTCACCCGGGCGCGGCCGTTCCCGCCCGCCGGGAAAGCCGGGATCCCCCTCTGCAACCCCCGGTGTGCCCCCACCCACCGGCTTTTTCCTTTGTACGTATGGAAAATGGATGGAGATGGGGATATTGGGGGGGATGTGGGTGTCCTACCTTAGTTTGGCGGAGCGCGGTGTCCTTACGAGCATAGCCGTGCCTTTCCAGTTCACATGGGACCAGGCAGCAATCGGGGCGCCGGGAAGCGGCGGATCTTTCCCCCAGCCCTTCCCTCCCTCCCTCCCTCCCTCCCGTCGCACACCACCCCCTAAATCCAACGAGGGGAGGGCGTGCGGCGCTCGCCCGCGGGGATGGAGGATGGAGAAGGAGGAGTGGTGGTGGTGGTGGTGTTGGTGATGGTGGTGGGGGCCCTTCCCGAGCCGAGCGGAGCCTCTCCCGACGGTAATCCCAAGGAGCCAGCAGGCAGCTCCGCAGCCGCTCTTGCAAAGCTTCAGCCGCGCTGAACAGGAAACTTCGGATTTACCGGGGGAGGAGGGAGAGGAGAGGGGAGGAGAGAGGCGGAGGGGGCTGGGAGAGAGCCGGGGGCGGGCAGCCGGGAGGAGCCGGGGCAGCCCCGGGGGGTCGGGACCGGAGAAGGGGGGGGGCACCGCCCGCACGGTCCCACCCGCGGCCACGCTGCTGTCTCCCCGCTCCTCCGCCTTTGTTCAGGCTCCGGGCGATGCGTGGCTAAGGGCAGGGCGCTCAGGGCCTTTTGGGGAGCCACCCCCAAGGCGGCGGGGTGGGTGGGTGGAGAAGAGGTGAACCCCCACCCTGGGGAAAGGGCTTTACAAAGCCGGCGGACGGGAACCGGGGGGATGCGAGGCTGCCCCAGCCCCCTAAAACCCAGCCCTTAATTCGTTGGGTTTAATAAATAAATGTATAAAGCCAAGTGCGAGGTCGGAGCATTTTAATAACTAAAGCTCGGCTCTTCAGCTGCTGTGATTTGTAGCTGAGTAGCTAATCTTCTCAAGGGCTTAGCGTGGAGGGATCACAATAAACAGATAATAGAAAAGTCGTTACAGGCACCATCCCCTTAAACTCTGCTTAAGAAGTTTTATTCTTACTGGGTTCTTTCAAATTATATGAATTATCTATATACATATATAGCTTATGAATGTAGTGCAGGTGGAAGGGGGGAGAGATGAAAAACTGGTAGCTAGGTACATTCCCCTCGACTGGAATGTTTGAAAGACTGAGTTCATTATATACCAGCACATTCAATTTGCAAATGCAGCTCCCAATGCTATTCTTCATGGTTAATAACTGGGAATTGATTGAAAAGAGAGGTCATGCAGCTTTCAAAGCAGAAAGAACCGAGCCTAATGGGGCTAGCGAGGAGATGGTTTTACATACGCACTTTCAATGGTTGTTTTATTAGATGTTTGCAGGTTGTGATTAACAGTGTGTGGCAATTTTATTATTGAGCAAACAATGCCCCTGACAAGCAGGACACAGCCTGCAAAGAGAACCTGAACTGTGCAAAGAAGAGATTGTGCTTGGAGTTTCCACACGCTTATACCAGCTAATTAGGGCAAATCATAACTTCCTGTGGGAAGGGAGGACTTGTGGGTGAGTTGGTGGAGCTCTGCTCGAGCGGTCTTCCTCTCAAATTATCCTGCTCAGGAATATGACCTTTACAGGGAGAAGGGGAGGTTTACTAAAATGGGAATCAGGAGGAGAGGCCAAGCCTCCAGAGCAAGCTTTCTCCCTAAGGCAGAAGCTGCCCCTGCAATAAACTTTCCTCGGTGCCTCCCCTCCGGCCCTGTGTCTGGAGAGCAGGGTGCTGCTCCCATGGCTGACAAATCCATCTTCAAAGCTCATTCCCAACCGGCTGCCATGAGCACCGGCTCCTGCTCTTCCCCACGCACAGGCTGGGTGGAAGCTCAAAGATGCAGTGGCTGCAGAGATCCATCCCGTAGCCAGAGACATGGCAAGTGGGGCATTTCCAAGGTCTTAACCTGTTGCCTGGACAATACTTAAAGCCTTATTAATAAGCTCCATGCAATGATGGTAGCTGAGAAGGACTTCTGTTGTAAAACAGGGCATTTTGAAGGAGGCTTGTAAAGAATACCCAGAGAAGCAGTGGCTGCCCCATCCCCTGCAGTGTTCAAGGATGGGGCTTAGAGCAACCTCATCTGGTGGAAGGAGTCCCTGCCCAGGTCCTTGGAACTGGAAGGGAACTTACAGTCCCTTTCAACCCAAACCATTTAATGATTCTATGATTAGGCCCAGTCCTGACCCCAGTGGGGATTTTTGGCTCTTTGCAACAATCAGGATTAATTACAAAGTTGGTCATTACTGAAAAGAGACGTTCTGTTGGCAGAAGTATCTGCTTCCTCCTGTAGTTCCTGCTTATAACCCACATAGTGGTGGGAAGGAGTAGGCCAGATTCTGTTCCATTTACTCCATACTTCTCTCCAGCTGACAGCGGTATCACTTCTGCACATTTACATGAGTCAGAAGGATCTGGCCACAGCATTTCTGTCATTAATAAACACCAGGAATGTTAAGATCAATACCAATCCGAGAATACACATGCCCTGAATGGGCACTTGGCTTGCAGAATCACAGCTGACATAATGGGATGTGTAATGCTCTTAGCTGGCCCTAATAAATCGTCCCCCGCTGGCACGCACCCGGGGGTATTACAGCCTGCGTGCAAAGCGGACAGGCTGGAGATGTGCACATCTGCCCCAGAGCTGCTCAGCCTGACCAGGAGAGCTGGGATCCCTGTCCTGGGCTTGCACCTGAGCTGTGTGAGAGTTAGGAAAGCAAAAGGTCTGGGTCGCATCATGGGAGACATCACCCACACCCAGGTGCTCACTGGGGTGGGAGCTCAGCAGGGAGAGCTCACAGGGTTCCTAAAGTTATCAGAGCCACAATGATTTCAACAGCTCAGAAAGCAGATCTGCCCTGACCATCGCAGCCTGACGACTGAGGACACCTCAATTCCTCTTCCGCCTGATCTTCCCCATTTGATGCTATTTAGCACGTAGCAGGCATTTACAATCTGTCACACAAAGACAATATAGGACTTTACAAGAACATTATAAAATCATAGAACAGCTTGGGTGGGAGAGGACTTTAAGGCTCATCCAGTTCCAACCCCTGCCATGGGCAGGGGCACCTTCCACTGGAGCAGCTTGCTCCAAGCTCTGCCCAGCCTGGCCTTGAACACTGCCAGCAATGGGGCAGTCACAGCTTCTCTGCACAAAATCCCTGCTTGTCTCAGGTAGTTTTCATAAAGCAGTCCATTTAATATTCTCCTATTTAATATTCCTCCTCCAAACTTGCCTATAACCTCTCAAAGGCTGTAAACGTTCCAGCAACCCTGCTGAAGGACTGAGCAGCATCTCCAGCCCTGCACCCTGCCCAGCTCCTGGCTGCTATGCTTTGAGTCAGGAGCCACCCGACGGAGACCCACTGCCACAGTGACACCCCACTAGGATTAAACTCCAGTTCCTCAAGGTCATGGGCATGGTGAGAGTGGGATGAGGCATCCCTGCATGTCTCACACCCTGCTTCCTAGCGAGGCTCCAAGAGGAGCCCTTGCCAACATTTATAAGCTGCTGGGTGTGCCATCGTAGCATAGTGTCAGATGAAACCCAGACAGTAAATCAAGCAGCGTAGCAGAGCTTAATGCCCTCGTCTGTGCCTGTACGTGATGTGCAGCCTCTTCCCATAGAATCACAAGCATCAGCTGGGGAGAAAAAGTCAATATAAAAACCCTATTTGACTTTTGGAGTTTGATGCTCTAAGTTCCCCAGGCTAAGATGAGACCAGTGGGTCAGCAACGTAGTTTAAGGCTTCTTTGTGTTCTTATGCCTATTAAGCTGACCTCTTACAGACAAAGTCTGACAGAGGTGCTGAATACTTTATGTAATATTTTTTACTGGATCTCATTCTAGCTGAGTCAAATCTGGGTTTTTTCTGATTGCAGAAAAACCTTCAAACAAGGAACAATCTAGCTAATAGTGCTTGCATAAATCATCCTCAAAATAATGAGTATCTGTGGAGTGAACTCATTTAGCTAAATAGATGGAGGGCCACTTTAAAGTTATTTAGAAAGATTAACAAAAGAGAAGGGAAATGAAAAACAGAGAATAAATTGAGGGGAGAAGGGGAAAATTATGTTGGAAACAATGAATTTATTATAATTCGAGATGGTAAGGAGAAATTGCCAAAAAAACGAGATTGGCACCGTGGCTTTGCTGCTGCCCAAATGTATTTTTAATTAAAATACGTGGATGTTAAAATGCATTTTTAAAATAGAGATAAATAGGTCCCCAGCCAACATTATATATTTATTTTGACAGCTTTCAAATTCATCCATAATTTGTCATTTCCTCAGTACAAGAAAACACTTATCTACTCGGGGGATAGTTCTGCCGCTGCACTCGCCATTGCCTTCATCAAGCACTGAGTACAGAATGCCAAACTGCTCCTAAACCTGGCAGATCCCAGCGTTTACTCCATTCCCATTTGGAATCTACACCTTTTTCTGACCGAAAAAAATCCAGTGTTTTGCTCCTGCATTCTTCTTCTCTCACTTTTCCTTCCTCCCATCTCGGTCCTTTGCCCCATCCTGTTCCTTAATCTAATATTCCCTTTCTGCTCCTCGATCCTTTATTTAGGGGTGACTTTGCAAAGTGTCTCCTATCCCAGTCACAGCCCCACAGGGAGCCCCTGCAAATACATCAGATTGTCCTGATGTGGTTTTGGTATCTCAAAGCCCCTACAACAGCTCTGTACCTGCAGTCCATTGCTCACAGCAGGCATGCATTTTCTTTCCTCACCTTCAGTGATTTAGCAAGTAATTCCCTCCCCATAAACTCTCATCTTAGGTCTTCATGCATTATGGAGCAGTGTTGAGGTCTCTACAGCCAAGCCTGGAGAAACCCACAAGATGTACAAAAGCTTTAAGTCCCACCTAAATCCTAAGGAAAACTGAGATGATGACTCAACCAATATGATGCCTTTGAGATCAAGTCTATCATTCGTGTTTTATCCTCCAGAACACAATTTTTCAGGAGGCAGCATCCCCTAACTACTTTGTCATTGTGTTAAGAAGCACAAAGCTATCCACCTTCAAAACCCTTCACTCACCTTGCACCGTTTCCAGTCTCACAGCTCTTCAGCATTCCCAAATCCATTATTGAGTGAGTATATTTCAAACCCACACGTTTTGGCCAGGCTCAAAAGCTGCATTGTAGCTTG